ATTTCTAACACTCAGTTAAGGAGTTTATCTATTGTTTTGAAGGCTAAGCTGAAATGTGTTCAGACATAAAATCCCTTAAAAGTTCTCCTCTCGCGTGGCAGCGCTGTTGTTTGTGAACTAAAATCAGATCGGATGGCCTTTGTAAAGAATGGGCCGTTTACATCTTATTTATGAACACAAAATGTGAGATTCCATAGAAATATGAAATATCAATCTGATGGATCTTTGACTATTTTAACCAGAAGATCAGAACTTTTTATTGCAGGGATTAAGCGACACTTCGTATTAACTCCAAGTAAAGAGAGAGAGTCAGGTTTAAAATAGTTAAGAAATTTATTCCTACACAATTTAAACAAGACTAACTTTAACATTCTGTGTACTGATGGACTAAGGTGGAGTGAGACGTGATGAATGATGATGGTGTGTGTGTGGAGTGTTATTCAGAACCAGCGGATCCGGAGAAGCAGTTAGTTCTGAGTGGGAGTGAATGTTTCGCTCTAAGCCTTAGTAGGAGATTTATAACACACATGAAACACCATCTGTCGGTCTACATACCCAGGGGAAGCCTCCAATCAGATCCAGAATGCCGAAGTCCTCGTGGACCCTCTTTGGTACCGAAGCTGGTACAAAAGCAGCGGTGCCGACCAAACTAGTCTTGGAATGCTTCCAGGTCACGACAAGTTATCACTGGCATCTCCGAGACCCTGAAGGGGTCGTGAGGTTCAGCTTTTATTCTGAAGGAACCATTGCGGTCAGGTGTAACGTGCAACAGATTTTATCCAGCTTGTCTGAGGTTCTTTTGGCTGAAGAGGAATCCGGATGGCCTGTCCGAGATTTCTCTAGAACGCTTTGAACTAAAGAAGAGGTGGCGTGGGATAGTTTTTATACTTGTCATATTTTGGTTTACTGGCGAATCAGAATTTGACATGCAAAAGAGGGTTTATGCAAACACCACAGAAAACCATGCCTTTCCAGAAACGAAGGTTCTGATTGGATCAGACAGAAGGAAATGTGTCGTGTGACTTAACATTACGTGCCATTAGTGTCTAGTGCAAATGTCCAAGATTATAATAACTTGTAAAATACTACTGATCACAGGATTATAATATCAAGTAATAACATTGTCATTTCACAGACTGATTGAACATTGGGCTCACATTATTGGTAAATAACAAAGTTGTTGATTATGTATTTATCAAAATAGTTCTCATCTTCGCTTGGTAACAGAGGTGAAGCAGTTCAGATGAGCAGAGTGCATGAAAGACCTTGGCCACTATTTCATGTAGATTAGCCTGTCAGAGACTTTTATGTCTCTGCTGGAGTAGACGCAGCAGATCATGACCTTTAGGTCAAAAACAGGACATTCATGATGCTACACCTTCTCTTAATGATGTCCACACCTTCACATCCGTCCAGCTTCCCTTCCTTCCACTCAGATAGAAACCAGTGGACCTCTGGTGATTCATGGCTCGAGTTTCTTGTGTGCAGACAAACTCGTCTGTAGCAGGTCAGGCATAAACAACCTGTGGGTGTGGAAGGGTGGGGTTTGGGACTGATTTACTCAGCAGGAACATCAAAGCCAGAACAGGACTGATGAGGTTTAAACCTTGGATCAGAGACCAGGCGTCACTCATTGAGTTCCTTTCAATAAAAGTAGCAGTAGTCATTTCTGAGGCTTCAGCTGCTTCTATTTTAAACTCAGCAAAAAAAACGGATAATTAGCCAAAGTGAAAAGTTGGGTCGATGCTTTGGATCAACCCACGCCTGCCAGAATCAGACTGCTGATTGAATCTAGAGATCACGAACGTGTGCACAGAATTACTTAGTAAATGATGTCTTGTTACGAGAGCTTCAGCTCGTTTATTTACCTTTTTTCTAATGTGCAGACAGCACAATAATTGGTTTTGAGGAAAATGTCATTGTTTTCTGGCTGTTGACTTAGAAGTGAAAGACAAGGAGGTTTATTATGGAAGATGATCTCACAGAATGTTATTTTTACTTTGAAATTATGACATTGAATTTTTATTTTGTGAAATAGTTATTTAATTATTATTGTTATTTTTTTACTTAAAATACACCATCAAAAATGCCGTCTTCAAAAATTAAACAACTGAGGTGACTTCCAGGTGACCCAAGCCAAAGCAATCGCCAAACAATCGAGTCAACGCCTCACCAGTGTCAGGTGACCAGAAGCGTAATTTGATTGGCTAAAAGCCACTCGACTCAATCGAGTGACGATTACTTTGACTTCGGTCACCAGGTCACCTCAGAAGTCGAATTTTTGCAGCAGAAATTTTTACGTTGAAATTTTTGTTGGTGAATTTTAAGTAAAAAGTTGAAGCACGTAGTTTCAAAGAATAAAATTCAATGTCATAAAACCAATGTCTAAAAAAGTCCTGTTGTTATAAAGATTGCTGTTGTGATCCAACTACAAACTCTTTCTGCATAAGTTCATGTTTGGTTTTATCTGGTTGCCCTCCAACAAAAATTATTTATAGAGCACCAAGTCACAAGACCCAGCAGAGTGCTCAAGTCACTGACTTGAGCAGTTCTTCTGAACACTAAAACAAACATTTGGGTTTGACAGAAGAGGAACAAAGACTCTCAGTTTGTGTCTGACAGAGCGATGTGTGTGCGAAAAAAGTAAAGACTTAAAGTACATCAAAGGAGGGAATAAATATTTATTCTAATTTTTTGCAAATCCTTGACTTGTAAAGACTGGGGCCCATGACCGGGAGGCATCGCCATAGTTTAGCTTTTTCCTTTTATGATCCCTTTTCCGGGGAGGGAATCCCCAGCAAAAGGTTTTTAGCAGATGAGCTGAATTTAAATTTCCAGATTGACTTGAATAGTTTAAAATGTTCCTGTTCTTTTCCCTTATGAACTCCCGGGGTGGTTTAAAGTGTCGGTTACATGTTTTGTGAATGTTACTTATTTAAAAATGGGTGGATTAACACAAGATTTCTGTTATTTGTATGGAATATGTTTTTAAATCGAGTTTAGTAAAATAATCATACATACATATCTTGATCTTTTTATTTCATGTTTTGGTTTATTTTATTGGTACAACGAGAGAACAAAGTTGATCTTTTATGGAAACGGGAAGCGGTTCACTTTAGGTCTTTCCGGTCTACGAAGGACCCGGTACCTATCCCAGTCTGGGATGACCGGATAGGCCGCCTCTTTCAAAGGATGAATTTGGACACAGTCACAATTTCATGTAGGAATTCTATACACTTCTGTTCCATACGGAAAAATCCAAACATGAATACGTGTACCGTTGCATCCCTCACATGTACCTGCATGTGAAACGAAGAGAAGAATCTCCTCACAAATACATGTTTCATGGGGAAAACTTTTGGTTTTGACAGTTTCTAAAGATATGTAAAGGCTGGATTCAAACTGAAATGTTTTCTATAAGACTTTTGTCGTAACAGCAGACGATTTGGGACATTTGTGCGAATTTTGTGGTATTTTTTATGTATCAGTTTATTCAATAAGTGTTTGAATGATGTTCTAATTAGTTCACAATTGATCACATTCAGAATGTTAGGTTCTCTCTAGCTCATTCTCTTGGCTCCTAATTCGCTTAGTTTCACCGGTTTCCAACTGCTCTCACACTTTCTGACTCATGAAAACTAAACGGGGAACGGTTCGAGATGAGTTGCCGATGCTAAAACTTTCACTGTTTTCAGAGAAAAATGTAGGAAATTGCAGCAAGACGAGTGTGACGGTCAAACGTTGTAAATATTGTGTTTGATGTCCTGTGGACCTCTATGTCTACCGATTATATGAAAACATGTTTATGACATTATTCAGGATATCCGCGGGTCCTTAAAAAGTCTTAAATTTACTTTTCCAAATTTAAGGCCTTATAAATCCTTAAAAATTACAAATAATCCTTAAATACAGTTTCCAAAGGTCTTAAATTACCAAAGACCCAATAAACAAGATTCTTTTATTTCTATAAAATTTTCATGAATTTCTAGGTGGTGTTCAGCATTTTTTGTGTATGATATAAGCTGAACCGTACACATTCAGTTTGTTGTGAAAGGGGGCTATTTTTAGATGAGCACATATAGCTGGTTAAGCTAGTGGGGGCTTCTGCCATGGGGATGTGCAAGTTTAATGGTAACTGGATGGCTAAGCCCACATCCGCGACGTGGTTAGCACCGGTTCCAGGCAATTGCTGGAAATTATAGCTTAAAATAAATTTACAAAATAGCATACATTTGGTCAAAGTGGCCTTAAAAAAGGTATTAAAACGTGTTAAATTTGGCTCCCTTAAACCTGCAGATACCCTGTTATTATGTAGCTGCTTCAGATCAGATAAGAAATAAAAGGACACAAATGCTACTCACTCAGAGACCCACATCACTTAAGTTTGAGTTCTGGTTGTTAAATTTCACACCTTTTGAGTATCTTGTTTATCTATTATGTAAAATCAGCCACTAAAAGAACCCTTCAGATGTTCTGAGACGAGCTTTAAATCTGAGATGCTGGTTTTACTTCTGGGGTTTAGCACCTGCTTAGCCACGGAGCCTTGGGTCCACCTCACGGCGGCCTGAACCCGGCTGATAAATGATGCGCCATAAAGGTCCCCATGATAACACAGCCCCCCCCCCCCCCCCCCCCCCCCCAGTGTTGCCACGGTGTTGGCAGAAATACTGGCAGACTCTTCTGTAACTTAGTGCCTGATCATAAACATTTAACACCCTTCTGTTTGGCTTGCAGCAAACAAAGAGTCACAAAAAAGAGCAATAACCCTTTAGAAAGCGGATAAAAGCCAACTCTGTTAGACGGACTCCCTTTGAAAGATTCGGCTTCGTAGAGATCATTCCAGCGGCAGCTGAAAACTCAACAAAAACAATCTGGAAGCTAATGAAACCCGAGTCTGTGTGTTTCTGCTGGCCCTGTGGCTGCACTCGAAGCTAATAGTTTATTAAACCGGATGGCAGCTTTGACTAATGCCTTGTGCCTTGTTTTTGTATTTTTTGCAGCCTAGATAAACTGCTGGACTCAGGCTTGTATACGGGAGAGATAACAGAGCTGTCAGGAGGCCCAGCCAGTGGAAAATCTCAGGTGAACTTTTCCTGCCTTCCCTGATAAATTCAGCCTCATCTTTTTTGTTCATTTGGATTCCCTCTTCAGCTCCAGGGTGAGTTACTGAAATAGTCTGTGGTGTCTTTACTCCTCCCTGCCTGCCTTTCATGTCACCCAGGTGTGTTTTGGAGTGGCAGTGCACATTTCTCACCACCTGAAGCAGACAGTCGTCTACGTGGATACGACCGGGGGGCTTACTGCCAGCCGCTTGCTGCAGATGCTTCGAACAGAAACGAGTAACACAGACGAGCAGGTGAGCTGGCAGAAATGTCTTTATGAAATAAAAATAATAAATTATGGATCTTGAATTAAATAAGAACTTGACAGTGTCGACTTTAACTTTCCAGATGGAAGCTCTTCAGAGGATTCACATTTTCCATTTGTTTGACGTCTACGCTGTACTCGACTGTCTGTACGGGCTCTGCAGTGGTGGGCTTCAGCAGGTTTGTTTGCAGAAAACACGCCAGCTGCACCTGGGGGGAGCTTCCACTCCTCAGCTTCTAACTTTGTCACATTTTGTTAGGTGTGTGTCGGCGGTGGCTCTGTAAAGGCGGTGATCGTGGACTCTGTGTCGGCTCTTATCACTCCTCTACTGGGAGGCAAGCAGAGTGAAGGTGATGTCGTTTCCTACTCGTTCCTCAGCCACCAGTTTGTGTTTATGGTTGCTGCTGTGTACCTGTAGGTGCAGCAGGAGACGTTCTTCTGGAGCTTTTTTCTGCCATACTGCTTAAAATACTCTTCAAATACTAATGGCAACGAAAATTTTTTATGTTAAGTCAAAAATCTCATCCAGTCCATCAATCTGGCTATTCACCGTCCCTCCCCTTCTTCACATACCCCTCATTCTTGGTTCAGAGCAGCTAACAGGAAGTGAAGCCAAAACTGGGCTAGTTATATTAGCTAGTGTAATGGATGGAATGTTGTGTTTTGTTTGAAGTCTGTCTGTTCTTGTAGGGAAGTGTTTAGGTGACGGACCTTTTGTCTGTGAACGCAGCCTGTCCTCTGTTGGCTGGTAGAGCTCAATGTGTGTGTGTGTGTGGTAGCCGGTGTAGAGGGTTCTAAATGTTCTAACATGTTGTTCGTAGGGATTCCCCAGATTGGTGGTAGCAGTGAGTTGCTATGAGTTTGAAGTTGGGAATAACCCCAAAAAGCTAAAACCTGCCTATAGCTAACTATATTAGCTAGCATGCTAAATTGTTATATGGTTACATGGGTGCATTATGTCAGGCGTTTTGGTAGAAAAGGTGCCAACGAGTTGACTAAATAAAACCGAACCCTCAGGAACGAGCATTGTACTGCATTCTGGAGGTGCAGCTAAGAGGGTGGAGCCTGAAAAAGGGGCTGGACCTTTGAATTGTGTAATTTCAAAAAAGTAGCCTGCTTAATCGGCAAGAAAACGTCTCCTAAATTCCACCTTTAAATATAAAAAGGGGTTTGCATGTGTCATGGATTTTATCAATATGTTTATCAATAACCCATTTCCTATAGTGAAGAGAGAAGGAGACAATGAGTCAAACGGTTATAACTGTGGCAAGATGCCCAAGCAAATGCACCGAACATGTGTTCACAGGCTTTATTTATAGGTAGAGATGAGAGGTAAGTGAGCATGCAGAGACATGGAGCAATACATTACATCCAGTTGATTGAGTCCATCATCAGGAATTAATAAACATAGATTTTCCATAACAGCATGTTTTCAAATCTTAGAAACAACGTGTAATCAGTAAAAGTTTATTTTAGACTCATTTGTTTGGAAAAGCTGATTTTAAATAAGTGAGTCTGGATGTCAGAAGGATGAACATTTCTTCCCTGGAGCTCAGAAACAAACTCGATGAACATTAAATGGCGTAAATGCGGGAATAGGTGTCACTTTATCTGTGACGCTCAAACTTCAAAGTGTAACTTTGGGATACTGAACATATTCCACCCTCTCCCTAACTTCTTGCACCTCCAGGCATGTCCTTGATGACACAAGTGGCAGGAGTTCTTAAGACGATGGCTAAGGACTTCAATGTTGCAGCGCTGGTAAGAATGACGCTGGCCTTGATGTTCGCCTCACAAACCTGTCTGACTGGATGTGAACATCAAACGTTTCTCTGCCTTTGTTTTGGAGCAGAAACAAACTAACAACAAAGAGCTAACCAGATTTAAAAAGCATGCAGGAACAAACCCAGGATGTAATCTTTTAAAAAAAGACATGCTGACGTCTGGGCCTGCAGGTAACAAACCATGTAAGTAGAAGTGGCAACGGAGAAGTGCAGCCGGGCCTGGGCGTATCATGGAGCCACGTCCCCAGAACCAGAATCCTGCTGGAGCGAGTAGAGAGCGCCGCTGCGTCTGTCAGCCACTCCAGTCTCCGCTCTGCAACGCTGATCAAGTCATCCAGACAGGTACCGCAAGCAGCACAGACTGTTGTCAAAACATACTGTTAAAATGGAGATGGCTAAGGTTTGCCCACAGGTCCGCTTTGATAAAGACTCCTGATTTCCATTTAAAAACATCTCCCAGCTCAGACAGAAATACACCAGCCTTATCACTCTAATTCATAGGGACAGGATGTAAATAAGGAGTCATGCTGCTCATTTAGATGCATCACAGCTCTGCTGACTTGTCCAATCACAGCTGCTGAGACAAATCCTAAACAAGACTCGGGTGTGATCATCTGATCTGCACTAGACGTTAATTCCCTTTAAATGTTTACTGGCAACTTTTTCATATTTTTAAATCATTTTCTTCAGCCAGGATGTGCTAAAATGTCACACCCTCCTTTCAAAGCCAGTAAGTTGTTGGTGGTCGCATTGTCCAAATTAGTGGAACCCTTGTGCGGTTTGATTTGGTCCCTGTGGACCCATTTATAGACAGGCTCCTTGTTTGTTTGGGTAATCTTAGCGGTTATCAGGTATGGGCCTGACCACTTGGGCATAAGTTTCTTAGCCAGCTTCCCAGAGGTATTCTTTGTGTTACCAGTTTTAGGAGCGAAAATGTAGAACCAGGCCTCATTACCTATGTTGAGTTCAGAATGTGAGGCCCTTTGATCATAGTAAGCCTTCCGTCTGTGCAAACGAAAACGCTGCAGGCAGATGGTTCTTCATGTCCTGCAAATATTGTTTGCTCGTGTAAGCCGGGTTGGGCTCGGACTGAACTGGCTGGTACAGCAGATGAAGTGGCAGGGTCATTTGTCTACCCATCATCATTTCAAACGGGGAGACCCCTGTAGACTCATGAGGGGTGGCCCGTATGGCCATCAGGACCAACGGAAGCTTCACATCCCAGTCTCGGTGATTAGAGGACACATACTTCCTCAACATGCTGACAACCATCCGGTTCATCCTTTCAACCTGGCCAGAAGACTGGGGGCGATGGCTAATGTGGAAATTGGGCTTCACACCCAACAGTTTCCAAAGATGTTCCATCACTTCAGAGGTGAAGTGAGTACCCCTGTCCGAGTCAACCCGAGTGGGAAGACCGAACCGAGCGAAGATGTGATTCATCAAGAGAATAGCTGTTGTTTGTGCCGTGTCATTAGGCGCTGGTAGACATTCAACCCACTTGGTGAATGCACAGGTCACAGTCAAGATGTATTTATTACCCCTGCTGGACCTGGTCGGAGGCCCCACCCAATCGAATTGCAAGTGCAACCACGATGTGGATGGTCCCTTTCTCTGTAGGGGAACTCTGTGGATGGGGTTAGATGGCTGAAACTGACAACAAACCAAACAAAGCTGGACGTGATCTGAGACGTCGCGACGCATCCCGGCCAATAAGCAACCTGGCTCAGGGCACCGAACGTGGCCTTGACACCTTTGTGTCCGGTGGAGGGAGAGTCATGAGCTTGCGTGATCATGCCCCCCCTTAGTGACTGTGGTGCCACGAGGACATGCGGTCAAGCTCGACGGAAGAAGGCAGATGAGTTGTAGGATCAGAAAAGTACAGGATCATCCTGCTTATAGCAGGGTCCTGGGACTGAAGACTGACAAGATCGTTACCAGAAAAGTCAGGTTGAACGGACACAACACCCTCAGATGGTTTGGAGGTGGGCGCGTTAGCGGCCTGAGCTCGAGTCACGACACACACACGGGGTGGGTCAGACCGAGAAGACACATCCTCAGGGAGCCACAAGGGGTTGAAGACCCATGAAGTACCATCGGCTGCACCTTGTTTGGCAAGAGAGTCTGCAAGGTCGTTCAGATCCTTATCAGTTCCGGGTGCACGAGAATGTCCTTTGACTTTACGCCAATAGATGCGCATGTCATGTGACGTTGCTAGGGAGTCACAAGCCATGAAGTGGTCCTGATGTTTTAACGGGCTTACGGTTAGAGGTTAGGAACCCGTTACTCTTCCAAGAAGGTAGATGACAAATGAAACTGAGACACGCGTAGTCAGAATCGGTGCAAATCACCAGCTCACTGACACTGCGGTCCACATTAAGTTGTAGTACTATCAAGATCCCAGCCACTTCTGCAAACTGTGAGGTCTTAGGACCCAACCGGTAACATTGGGAGTCCTTCTGGTTAGCGTTCAACCAGACGACAACCACGCCTGACCTAGGCGCAGCACCGTGTCGAAAAGAACTGCCATCGACGTACACGGTCGGCAAGTCCACACAGAGAGACTGATCGAAGTATTGGTGGTTGGGGTTTAGAAGAGTCTGAGGAGGGCTAGCTGGCGGGACTGACGTGACAGCGTTGTCCGAGCAGTGTTGGCACGCAGCCAAGCCCATGCCAAGAGGGCTACGGCGGTTCTGGGTGTAGCGTACTTCGATGTCAAAGCTTTGAAGAGCCAGCAGCCATGACACGATTTGCTCATTGGTCACCACACCATCTCTGATGCGCTGACTGTTAAGGAAGGTCACTGGCTGGTGCTGAGTTTCAATGATGATTTTCTGACCACTGATGTAGCTAGAAAAGTGTTTAACTGCCCACAGGGTGGAAAGCAAAGCTTTTTCACAGACAGAGTATTTTAACTCAGGACCGGACAAGAGCTTACTAGTATAGGCTACGACACGCCTGTCGCAGTCATATTACTTGGTAGAGACTTCAAACAGTGAGATGAAAAACCTACCTCAAGGTGGAACTCCTTGTCACAATCGGGGAGCGCCAAGCACAGAGCTGAGCATAACGCAGCCTTCAGGTCATCCATGGCCTGTTGCTGCTGCTCAGTCCACTCGAAAGGCACATCCTTCTTCAGTAGGTTAGTCAGAGGTCTCGCTTTCTCAGCGTAGTGTTCTACAAACTGGCGCAAGTAGTTGCACACCCCTAGAAAGCTCCGAAGTTCTGAGACATTCGTAGGAGGTGTGATGGTGGCCACACCTTGAATTCTGCCAAGTTGAGGCTGCACTCCCTGTGGTCCCACAAGGAGGCCAACAAAATGAACCATTGACCTGCACCACTGACCTTTGGCGAGAGAAATCTTTGCACCAGCAGCTCCGAGCTGACCCATGACGTGGTCCAGCTTGGACAGGTGGTCATCCAAGGTACGCTTATGAACAAGAATGTCATCGACATAGATGAGGGTACCTCGCACTCGAGCATCAGGGCAGGCTTTGTCCAAGAAGATGTTGAACTCAGCTGGTGAGTTGGAATAACAAAAAGTACACCGAGCAAAGGTTTACTGGCGGTTGGCAAAGGAGAAGGCTAGTTTGTGTTGGTCAGATTTAGGGACAGGAATTGTCCAGAATCCAGATGCAATGTCAAGGGTGGAAAAGTATTTAGCGTCTTTCACTTTTGGGAGTTCTTGTTCCAGGTGCGCCATCGGCCACCTAGACAAGGGAACCTGTTTGTTGAGTTGTCTGTAGTCAATGGTTAGACACCACTTACCATTAGGCTTCTTTACTGGCCACAATGGAGCCAAGTAGGTGCTGTTGCAGGGTTGAATGATCCCTTTAACCAAGAGGCTTTCAATGATTTCCTGGCCTTGTCCGTGGGACGCCAGGGGAATCTTGTATTGACGCACAAAAGTCGGTGCAGGGTGTGGCACTGTTGGAATCCTGACTTCATGGCTAGTGGTTAGACCACAGTCCAAGGAGTCAAGTGAAAGAAAATCTTTGTATTTTAACAAAAGTTGTCGTAGTTTGTCTCGCTCGACATCGTTGGTAAGAGCATCTGCTTGGCCCACGACCTGTTCAATCTGAGAGAAAACATCAGAGGGAATCTCTGATGGCTTTGAGCTTGGCAGTGAGCATGCGGTTTCCCCACGCTCAGTCACCTACAGCATGTCAGTGTGAGTCGGGGAAAGAAGGCGGAATGAACGGCAGAGGTTTTCTAACACCTGCCCTCAGTTCCCCTTCTCCAAGATCGATCAAAGCTTCAAAGCGCTTCAAAAGATCAACGCCTATGATCAAAGGCATGGTTCCACTCTCACAGATGTGCACCGGGTGTGTCAAGCTCATAGGACCGATCATGAATTGGAGCAGAGTCTTGGAAGACAAGAGCACTGTAGAAGGAGAGAAGACATGGATAGTTAATGCACAAGACATCAGTTCTGGAGGGCGTACACCTCCACCTACATCCAGGCAGACGCGGTTGAAAAGAGACCTGCTCATGATTGTAAAATCTGAACCAGTATCTAAAAGTGCGTTGCAGGGATGCCCCTTTTGCAATATGATGGATACTGTGGGCTTACCACCCCTCCCCTGAGGCAGGAGAGGTCCCAGCAGTATTTCGTCAGGCTCGACACCAGGGGGCGCCGGGCCACTGTCCGTGGGGGTCGCACTTATCATCAGTGTGGATGGTGCGATATGGGACATTTTGTGTGTTTCCTGTAGTTCAGAGCCAATTAGTACATCCGGTTGCAGCTCTTCCATCTTATCTGGAGGCAAATCAGCAGAGCACAGGGCTAGAGCCCCTCCCACATAGGAGGCATTTCCAACAGCTTGGACTTCTGTGACTTTCTGTTGCAGATTGAAAAGCTGCATCTGCATGTTTTTCATTTCAGAAAGATGCATATGCAGTTGGGTGTGCGTTTAATTTTTCCACTGGAAAAATTGCATCTGCATTTGTGAAATATGCATCTGTAATTGCATTTGGAGTTGGTTTTGCATTTGCATGTCATTTTTCATCTGGAAAATGAGAGAAGTCAAATGATTATTTTGGTCTGAAGCCATTGTAGTGATGTAACAGATCCTTTAATTTGTTATAAAATTAATGGAAGCTTAATAAGAAACCCTTGCTTAACTGGATGGATGAAAATGAGCTTTGTTACAGGAGAAACTGCAGTGTTTTGAATGAAGATTCAGGAACAGAACAGTTTCTGTAATGACCCAGAGATGTCACTCGATGGAGTCAGAGCCAAAATGGCCTGAACAAGATGGCCGTCCGAGAGGTTGCGTGGCTTTACCCAGGCAAGATGGCGGCACGTGTGCACATGCGCCTTACCTCCAACTGGCGGTTCGCACAAAATGACTGACCGAAAGTACGTTTTCCACACCAAAAGTGTTAAAAAAAAACACCCCTAATTCTGCTTGCCTGATGTCGGAGCTTGTCCCGTAGGAAATAGCGGATTTTAGGACACAGATTCGCTGGGTCGGTCAATTGTCAGCTGGCGGGTTAGCTACTCCCTTTGCCGAAATCGAGGGCTAAACGTTAGCAGCTGGGCGTGCTAAGCTAGCGGGACCTGTTAGCTAAACAGGACTTTGCTGTCTAATTCTGTCGTAGCACTGACCAGTCCGAAAAACCAAACGTTCGTGGCGTGTTCGCGTTAATCTTTCAGACAAATTAGCGTGTGCGGTTCGTGACGCAGCGCTCTCTTCCGTTTTAAAAGCTTATAATGACTGTCGCAATTGATGCTAGTCAAGCTACGGGATTGATTTCCGGTTGATCACTTCCGGTAATTGGGAGAAGCTTTAAGCTTCTAGGATAAATTCTTTTATCTCGTTACACAAGAATAATACACAGTGGGCACGAAACCACTCAAAAAGACGTGACAGAGTCACATAGATTAAAATACACAGTGACACGAAGTTCACTCAGAAAAGACATAAACACATGTTTTCACCTTAAAGATGACAGCAGGAAAACCCTTTCAGATAGGTCTTTCTATGAAACCAAAATGGCAAGAGAACTGACACGTCAGCCCCCAATGATTTGAGATGATCAGCACCTCCTGTCGAGGTGACGTCACTCCCCCTTTTGACTTTAAATGGAGATGCTGCACTCTAGAGGCTGATAATGATATTGCCTCTGTTCAATCAGAAACATCACATTTTGAGTGTTTAACTGAGTAAAATGTCTCAGAATGACCACGAAGTGTCAAAAATGTACAAATATCTGGCAAAACGGCTCACCAATGATGTAACGATTAAATTTACTTATTATTTAATGAACCATAAAATGTGATTCCATAGGAAGTATGAAATCAATCTTATGGATCTGTGGATAACTTAAACCAGAAGATTGGAACTTTTTATTGCAGGGATTATATAACACTTCGTATTAACTCAGAGACAAAAGAGAGTCAAGTTTTAAAAGTTTAAAGATTTATTACTAAACAAATTAAAACTAGACTAACTTTAAACACTAAATGTATAGTGTAACTAAGGTGAAGTGAGACGGAGAATGGTGTAGTGTGGAATGTTGTTCAGAACCAGCAAATCCGGAGAAACGATTAGTTCTGGTGGGAGTGAAGGTGATGTTTCGCACTAGGCTTGGTTGGGAGATTTATAACACACATTGAGACACCATTCTGCCGGCCTACGTACCCTTTGCGGAAGTCCCTGTCTAGATCAGGAATGTCGAGGTCCAGCTTGACCTTCTCTGGAACCGAGGCCGGTAGGAAAGCAGCGGTTGCCGACCAGACCAGTCTTTGAGATACTTCCGGGTCACGACAGTTTTATTGGCATCTAGCGAGACCCAAAAAGGGGTCGTGATGATTCAGCTTTTATTCTGAAAGGAACCGTTGCTTGGTTGGTAAAGTGCAACAGATTTTATCCAGCTTGTCGTTGGTTCTTTCGGCTGGAGAGGAAAGTTACGGATTGGCCACTCCGACAACTTCTCTAGAACGCTTTGAACTGGAGTTTAAGCTGAAATGGGCATAGTTGTATACTTCGGATGTTTTGATTTACGGTCGAATCAAAAGAGGACAGCTTTACCAAGCACCACCAAAACCACACCTCCGTCAGATCTGGAAGATTCTGATTGGATCAGAAAAAGGAAATGTGTCGTATGGCTTAACCTTACGTGTGATCAGTCTCTAGTGGAAACATTTAAAGTTATATTACTTATTATATTCTGTAGGATTATAATAAAGTAATTAATATTTTCATTTCACAGATTGGTCACATCTTATTATTGACTAACACTTTGTTTGATTAGCTTGTGAAAAATAGTTCTTTGATTTATTAAAAAGAGTCCTTTGTCTTCATTCTTCTCGAGCTGGAAAGGAAAACAGTTTAGAAGCAGATGCATGGGACCTTGAACAATGTCTCATGCAGATTAGTTCTTGCTGAGGAGAGGGGGGGAAATTACTTTTAGGTGGAAAACAGTTATTTCATTCTGTTACAGCTAAAAGATTTTCATTTTGGACCCGGCCCAACAGCGGGCCGTTTGTGGACCCTGGAGGGACTTTTTTTTTAATGAGGTCATGCCTTCTGGCAGCAAAAATGCCGATGAATTACCCTTTTCTAGTTTAAAAATAAACAAAACATAGAATCAGTCATTATTGACCTTTTATTGTATATTCCTGAGTGAATGGGATCACAAACTGTGGAAGAAATGGTCTCCATTGTAGAGAATGTAGAATATGATCTTTTGTTAGGCATTGAATTTATATTATGTGAAATTATGTATTTGCATTCAGCCTAAAATACACCAACAGACCTCCTAGTGACCCAAACCAAAGCAATCGTCACTCGATTGTCGGTTCACTGGGGTCACATGACCAGAGAAGCTACTTAAGTCACCTCAGCTGATTAATTGTTGCTGGTGTGTTTTAAGTTAGTCAAATGTTGTATTCTGGTGAAACCATTTATTCCATAACAAACCCTCTCTGACCTTTACTAACAACCAGTCACACCAAAACCTGGAATGAATGAATATCCTAAGACTAGAAAATCAAATTCAGGGAATTTTTCTTTTATTATGAAAAACCTATGAAACCCTTTTTCTGTTCAGGATGTACTGCTCCTTTGTGTTGTTAAATATAACTTTTTGGGGCCCGATTCTGATCTAAATCTTGTTCTATGTTCAGAACCAGTTGTGTTTACGGTTGAAATCTCCTCCTCCCCTTCAGCCGTGTGGCATCAGAGAAGAGTTTGACCTGCAGTGGTGGAGCCGGGTTCCTGGAGAGGGCCGCGCTGATCCTCAGACCAAAGGTGAGCACATGACTCTGAGCGTCATCTGATTGTTTCAGTTATTGCCTGTAAGAGTGGCCAGCTTAGACCTCTGTCAGCGGCATCATCAGCATCTCTGCACACCCGAGAGGAAAGAACATGGAGTCTTGTGCTGGGAAGCAGGTTTATTTTGGAGTTTGTCCCCCGCTGAGCATTAAAACCGCCTCAAAGCCAGAAAGAGATAAAAGGCTAATCTAAACGTCTCGCTGATGCTAAACAGAGAAAGCTGTGAGCTTCAGGCTAAGGAAAGGAAGGTTGCTGGTTAGAGTCCCAGATCTCTCAAACACAGCATGGCTTTTCACCTTAATGTAGGGCTGCTCAATTAATCGAATTTTAATCATGATTACGATCCGAGTTTTGAACGATTATAAAAAACAAAACAAGCCGATTATTTGCTCCTCCCACTTGCGCTGCCCTGAGTTGCAAATGAAGCGCTCCTTACAGTGTTGCCAACTTGGCGACTTTGACGCTATTTCTAGCAGCTTTTCAGACCCCCTTCTTGACTTTTTAAATCTTAAAAGTACCTAGCGAACACCTGAGAAACATCTCTGGTAACCCTTAGCTACTTTCTGGATAACTGCCGTCGACATTTCTTGCAGGTTAGCTAAACACTCCGCCTGCGCTCCGGACCGTTTTTCAGGACATTAGGAAAGGGAATGATGTAGTGATGTGTCAGTCGCTAAAGAAACGGCTCTCAGAGCCGGCTCCCTGTTGGATTAACCAGAGTGAGTGACACACACACCGCACCTGCGGACTCCTGAGCCACTAAAAACGGCTAAATGTGCACGTGCGGCGTGCTAAACACACGTGCAGCTTGCCCCGATTGCTGTGAGACCAGGTTGGGGGTGGGGGTGCAGCTGTGGTTGGGACAATTATTACATTAACTGATGGACTTGTAAATAAATAGTTTATAAATAAGGTAGAAATAAGTTCCTCACGCTGATAAATAACTAATCCCTCTGAGGACACGGTGCTAGTGCACTCTCCTACAGCACCTTGACATGTCTAAATAAATGTTATGCAACATTTTGTGAATATCAATTTATTTGCATTTATTTGTTATAAATGCCACTGTATAATTCTTGCTGTCAGTATTTGCAAGATATTGGTATTTGGGTCTGTACTGGTTAGACTTAAATGAGTTAAACCAAGGTCTATAGCCCTTGTGTCATAGACTATGAGCATATTGGTCTTTTTATACTGGGAATCAGGAGTTATTTTAGTGATCATCTTGTTTCTTATTTATTTTTGTCCTGTTTGTGCCCTGAGCAATTTTATGACTGAATAAAACAAATAAAATCAACATAAATAGAAAATTCGTCCTAAATAATCGAGATCTCATTTATAGTAAATAGAAAATTCGTCCTAAATAATCGAGATCTCATTTACAGTCATAATAATCGTGATTATTGTTTTTGCCATAATCGAGCAGCCCTACCTTAATGTTTAATTTAAGTCAGATGAGCTGATTATTGTATACAGAAGGTGAAGCTGGACACATGCTGGTCCACCTAACCTGTCCCCTAAAGTCAGCATGTCATATAAAATCTTTTCCCCAGATTTTAGTTGCATCAGTAGACAAACTGCAGTTTTTATTCAGTTCATGGTTTCTTACAAATGTTCAGCTCCTGTAGTTAAAGTCTGTGTAGCGTTTATTTCATGAATGTTTCTATCTGTGTTTCAGCCACGACAGATGGAGCAAGAGAGAGACACCTGCCCTGAACCCAAGCCACTGATGGTGTTCCTCTCTCAGCAGGGAGGAACGATGCGTCTCTTACGGATGCACTCCCAGATCCAGGAGGTGGAGACTTTCTGAGCCTTGCTGTCCTCCTCTGGCTCAGCCAACGTGTGTGTGGCGGAGGTGGGATCGTAATCCGGTACCAGGTCTCCATCATATGCCACAAAGTATCTCCTGAGTTTGTCGCAGTCGTGCACGGAGACGGGCAGGAAGAGCTTTATCCCGCTGAAAATGTCCAGCAGCGTCTGAAACAACAAGTCAGTGTGACAGAAACTGGTCAGCCAGTCAGATCTTCAACTATTAAGGACCATGTGTCACTGACCTTGTCGTTCTTTGGTTCCAGCAGCTGAGACGCTGCTTTTCTGTTACTGTGAACGCTTTGTTCGCTCTTCTTCACCTGGTGAGAAACAAACAGGTCAGAACGCCATGCTGCATGTTTTAGTCATTTCTCTGCTCCAGCGCACTGACTGAACTGTTGGGAGCAGAGAAACGGCTAAAACATGCTGGGTGGGACACCCTGAAGAGGTGATTTTTATCTACCTTCTTTGCGCTAGGAGCTTCTGATCCTGGAGGACGAGGTTCTGATTTCACTGCCTTTGGTTTAGGAGGGCTGCTGCTGGCTGTTGGACACGATTACACAAAGTTAGCCTGTTCCTATTTAAGCGTTTCCCTGTAAAATGTATAATTACTGAGTGACCGTTGTTAGGATTGATGGGCTAATGGCTAGGCCAAACTGTTGCTACAGTGATGAAACGTCAATATTCCCAAGAAGACTGCTGCATGAACTTTAGTTGTAACACTCTCAGACTAGCCGTTAGCTCATTCATCCTTTTTCTGCAGGAAACTGTTGACAATAAGAATTAAAATGTGGAAATGTACTTTAAGTTCTGAAAGGTTTATTCAATAAAACATTTCACAATCTAAAGTTGATCTGTAGACTGACTGAAAACACTCGTGCAACAAAAGCTCGACCGGTGGTTTAGGGATGACATCAGGTGACCAATCAAGAGTGAGACTAATGTGCTTATGTTTATGTATTTAGCAGACGCTTTTGTCCAAAGCGACTTACAGGTGATAAGCGGCATGTTGCCCTTGAGGCTAACAACAATAACATCAGTCATGGAGAGGAGGGAAGGTGCTAGTTAAGAAGATGCTCTCTGAAGAGCAGGGTCTTCAAGCAGGGTATCTGCAGGTTTAAGGGAGCCATTTTTAAGACCTTTTTTAAGGCCACTTTGACCAAATTTAAGCTATTTTTAAAATTTAATTTAAGCTATAATTTTCAGCTATTGCCTGGAACCGGTGCTAACCACGTCGCGAACGTGGGATTAGCCATCCAGTTACCATTAAACTTGCACTTCCCCATGGTGCAAGCTCCCACTAGCTTAAACAGCTAATGTGCTCATCTAAAAATAGCCCCCTTTCACAACCAACTGAATGTGTACGGTTCCGCTTACGCCAACATCATACACAAAAATGCTGAACACCAACTAGAAATTCACGAAATTTTTATAGAAATAAAAATATCTTGCTTATTGGGTCTTTGGTCATTTAAAACCTTTGGAAACTGGATTTAAGGATTATTTGCCGTTTTTAAGGATTTTTAAGGCCTTAAATTTGGATAAGCAAATTTAAGACTTTTTAAGGACTCGCGGATACCCTGTCAAGAGTTTCTTGAAAATGTTGTAATGTAACTAAGGCACCTAAAGAGCGCTCCAGTAATCCTGATTTTATTCCTCATTTCAGTCAATCTAAAATCAACTCAATCCAGGAAAGCGTTTCTCCAGGTTTTCTAAGCTCAGAAACCCCTTTTCCTTATAAGGAACAGAGAAGCTCATTAACAGGACAGAGACTCACTCGTCTTCTTGGGTGGAGCTTTCCCGGTGGATGATGGGAACGGGGAACTTCCTCCGCTGTCTCCTCCTGACGAGCCTTTCTCATCGTTGGACTCGGACGGCCCGGCCGTCACCTTAAAGTCACAGTGTTCCTTGGATATGCGGAACAGCTCCTGAGCAGAAGGACGGGAGACCAGACAGCTGCATTCATGCTTTACTCAGATGACTGACTAAACACACCATGTCTCACTCACACGCCTTCATATACAACAACAGGAAGTAATTAGCACCACCCAGCCCAGAGGACACGTTCCTCAGTGCACCATCTCTGCGATTGCTCTCATTAAAGCTACACTCTACGAGGTCATAATTAACCAGTCGGGTTCTCCACCTTGAGCTGGTGCAGGTTGGTGGCGCTCTTCCAGTCCTTGTCATCTCGGATCCGAGTCATGCGGGGGAAGCGGATGGAGATGCCATCGGCGGTGTGCATCTCTGATTTGGAGAACTCTGCACCGGTGATCTCCCAGACTGGCGCTTGCTGTAGACAAAGGAAGGTGAACGTGATTGTTAGAGTTGATGATGCAAGAAGGAAACAGGCTGGAAGCTGCTCCCAGATACGGATAACTAATGTGCCGAACCTCACCTCTGGATCACGGATAAGGAAATCTGGATAATAGTTCTTGACGATTTTCAGCCATCCAGGAATCTTGCTGGGGTCCTGCGCAACGACAGACCATAAAGGTGAATATTTGACCGTGTGACATCACCTTGGCATTCCAGCGGGGCCTGTGAGTGGATCCTCTCTGACCTTGCTGATTTTGATCACATCCAGCTCCTTCTGGAGCCGAGCCAACATGGCATCATCGTAGCCTCCAGAGCACTTGGTGACTGTGCACCACTTCTTGGAGGCTGGGTCGTAGCAGCCCATCAGGAAGCTGGACATGATGCCCCCTGGTGGACAGAGGGGCAACATGAAGGTTTCCATTTACCTCATGCAGGGTGTTTGTTACATTTGCATATTTCTAACAGGACGAGCTCCAAAGCAACCCATCCCAACTACTCACAGGTATTAAACTTTAATCAAACACCTTATAGACGCTGTAGTACACGAGTGTAGCTTTACAAACCGTTGGAGCCCTTTCCGTAGAAGGCGCCTAGCACCACCAGGTCAGCCGTGTCCGCCATGGCACCTTCGTTTAGGTAGTCCTTTTTAACCTTCAGCCAGTGGCGTTTCCCCGGCTCGTAGCTGCCCTGAGGTGAACACACACCACGTTGTGTTAACACTGGGCTGTTTTTATGTGTAAAAGTTACAAATAGACACCGTCTTAGGGTAAATGCAGAAATCTCAAATGGATATTCCCCAGAGTTAGATCAGTGAGAAAAAAGCATTTTGTAACCAGCGCAGGAATTCTCCTGATCTGGCTTAGCTTAGCATAAACAGTGGAAGTGAATAGCAGATTTAGACTCGGGACTACATGACGCATGGACATAACGCAGCTCTCAAAACTTTAACCAAAGGCAGTAAGTAAGTACCTAAACTACCTTGTTTATGAAGATGAAAACCTAAATAAACATTTTTATTGCACCAGTTCCTTTTGCTCCAGCACCCTCTGCTGTACATCCACAAATTCACCCTTCTCCATTTAAACTGCTACTAAATTATTTTACACGTCTGAAACTAGAAAGTATGCAACGTCCCACGGGATGGATGGAGCCCAAAGCAAACAGGCAGCATCAAGAAGGAAAACTGGTTTGTGTGTTCATTTCTGACAGAATAACTTCTTTTAAAAAGATTTCCAAACCAGATTTAAGATTTAATATCAATTAAGATTCTTAACTTCGTTTAATCCATTTCTTTTAAAGACCACTGACACCCTGGAATAGCTTCTGAAGAAAGATTATGTCCATCAGGACTGATGAGCTAGCTCAAGAGTAGACAGTTCCCTCCCGAGAGGGTCGGTATCCAGCATGTTTCAGTTGTTTCCCTGCTCCGGCATACTTGAATCACGTGTTGATTAAAACCTGGGGCCTCATTTATTTATGAAAGAACTTAGCAGAAAAATGTGCGCAACTGTAAGTTGACTAAGGACCTTGCTGACGCACATTTTGGACATGGAGAGCACCTGCAGTGCTGCTGCTGAGAAGGATAACATTATGAGATCCTGCAGCATTATCACTTGTACTGCTTCGTTTGCACACAGAACAAGACCCCCCACACGCACACGCACACACACTCACACAGCCTGAATTGCAGAATAGAGAATGCAGAATATCAGCAGGGGGACAGATTGAGACAGAATGTCATGCGTGTGTGACAGTGTGTGTCCTGTCACTGTGACCCGACTGATCATGTGCCTGCCTACTTAGACATTGGAGATCTCCGTTTGGGTGACTGGTTAGGGTGTGTGACTTTCACCCGGGAGTCTGGAGATTCGAATCCTGGTTGGACCATTTTTTTATATCTGCCACAGATCTCTCTGAAGAATTCACAACATTGACGGCTTCAGCAACGCTGTGCCACTCCGTGGATTTTCTCTCATTTATTTTGCAAAAGCACTTCCTTTCATTTCTCCACCTCACCCACAGCTACCTCAACTTCTGCTTGTGAAATAGCGCTTCCTTGGTCTGCGGTCGTGATCAAAATGCTGCAACAGCCGGCTTATATGCACGAGGTCCACAAGGCACTTTGCACTGACCATTTATGGCAGTAAGTGGGCGTGGTGAGGGCGGGATGTGACTAAAAAGCAGCTGAGAACCTTTCTCATTAGTCTCTGATTTACAAAGCGGAGATTGCGTGCAGCTGTGCGTACTCCATGTTTGATAGATCACAAACCTGCTTGGCGTAAGTACTTTATTTTTGCTGAGCTTAAGTACGGTTTTAGTAAGGATTCTACACAATGTTTAATAAATGAGACCCCAGGTGTGTTTGGAGCAGGGAAAAAACTAAAACATGCTGGATACCGTTCCTTTGGGAAGGAAGTTGTCTACTCCTGAGCAAGCGGCTAGCCCAAGAGCTGTCAAGACCACAACGTGTTCTTATATCAGCTTCAAGTTCCTAAACGCCGCAGCATCTTTGGTAATCGTTTTACGTAGAACCGTGTGGATGATCAAGTCAGGCTTAGATTTAGGTCATGTAAAAATGGCAGAAACACACTGGTTTTAGCAACACTCAAACCTTAGCATGTTAGATCAAAGCTAACAAGCTAATGTAAGATGTCGTTCAGAGCTGCTCGTGTAAGACACAGACGTAACAGACCTTTATGTCTTTCAGCACCAGGCCTTCCAGTCCTTCTCTGATGACTCGAGTTATCATGTCAGCCAGATCTGCTGCCCTCTGAAACACACACAGTACTGTTACTGAATCAGAATCAGAAAAAGGTTTATTGCCATTGTCAGTGAACAAACAATTCACAAACTAGGAACTTGCTTTGGTTCTAATGTGCTACATATAACATGAACACGCAATAAGAATAAAAATAGAATAAAACTATCAGCTATAAAAATGGCAGGTAATGGTAACATGGCTGATAATGTGACAATGTGACAAGTACAGAAGACCAGCATGGTTTTGTGTTTATAAGCTATTCACAAGTCCAACGGCCGAGGGAAAGAAACTGTTCTTATGGCGGGCGATTCTGGTCCGGATGGACTGTAACCTCCTGCCTGAGGGAAGCGGCTCAAAAAATCTGTGTCCCGGGTGAGAAGGGTCAGCTGCTATCCGACCTGCACGCCCCCGAGTCCTGGAGACGTACAGGTCCTGGAGAGATGGAAGGCTGCAGCCAATCACCTTCTCAGCAGAGCGCACAATGCGCTGCAGTCTATGTTTGTCCCTCACTGTGGCTCCAGCGTACCACACAGCGATGAAGGAGGTGAGGATGGACTCAATGATGGCCGTGTAAAACTGCACCATCATCTGGGCCGGCAGCTTGGCCTTTTTCAACTGCCGCAGAAAGTACATCCTCTGCTGGGCCTTTTTGATCAGGGAGCTGATGGATGGCTCCCACCTAAGGTCATGTGTGATGGTGGTTCCGAGGAAGCGGAAGGAGTCCACAGTGGTGACGGGGGTGTCCGACAGGACGAGGGGGACAGATGGGGCTGTGACTTTCCTGAAGTCCACAATCATCTCCACTGTCTTCTGAGCATTAAGCTCCAGGTTGTTGCTGCTGCACCAGTACACCAGCCGATCCACCTCCCTCCTGTAGGCGGACTCATCACCATCAGAGATGAGCCCGATGAGGGTGGTGTCGTCCGCAAACTTGATCAGTTTAACAGAGTCATGGCTCGAGGTGCAGCAGTTTGTGTAGAGGGAGAAGAGCAGAGGAGAAAGTACACAGCCCTGTGGAGATCCTGTGCTGATAGTCTGAGTGGTGGAAACATTCTTCCCCAGCCGCACACACTGCATTCGGTCCGTCAGGAAGTCAGTGATCCACCTGCAGGTGGAATTGGGTACGTTGAGCACAGAGAGCTTGTCCTGGAGCAGAGCAGGGAGGATGGTGTTGAACGCAGAGCTGAAGTCCACAAACAGGATCCTAGCGTAGGTTCCCGGGGAGTCCAGGTGCTGCAGGATGAAGTGGAGGGCCAGGTTGATGGCGTCGTCTACAGACCTGTTGGCTCTGTAGGCGAACTGCAGAGGGTCCAGGAGGGGGGAGGTGAAGGACTTGAGATGAGGGAGGACAGGGCGCTCAAAAGACGTCATGACTACAGACGTCAGCGCCACAGGCCTGTAATCATTCAGTCCAGTGATACAGGGTTTCTTAGGGACAGGGACAATGGTGGACAGCTTAAAGCAGGCTGGAAACTTGGCAGGACTCCAAGGAGATGTTAAAGATGTCCGTGAAGATGGGAGACAGTTCTTCTGCGCAGTGTCTCAGGGTTGCGGGGGAGACACCGTCCGGGCCCGGGGATTTCCGAGGGGTTTTGCTTACGGAAAAGCCTGAGCACATCCTCTTCTGTCACTGAGAAGGCAGTGGAGGGGTGGTCAGCGGGGACCTACTGTTTACAGTGGTGGAGGTGGTGGTGGTGGTGGTGGGGGGGGGGGTGGTGGTGGTGGGGGGGGGGGGGGGGCATGTGGCACCAGAGTGGCTGAAGAAACCTGTGCAGTAGGGGGGGGTGGGGGAGGGGTGTGGGACTTCAAACCTGGCAGTTAAAAGGAGTTGAGTTTTTCAGCCAGTTGTAGATCGTCAGCAGCATGTTGGGCTCTAGGCTTGTAGTTGGTGATTTGCCTCAGCCCTCTCCAGACAAGAGGCGGTGTCATTGTCAGAGAACTGCTCCTTTAGACGTTTATTGTACCGAGATCTCGCCTTCTTCAACTCTTTTGAGAAGTGGTAATTAGCGCCCTTGTAGCTTTCTCTGTCTTTGGCTCTGTGGGCTGCTTCTTTCTCCCTCCTCAGCTGTCTCAGTTTGGGTGTGAACCAGGGCTTATCGTCGTTAAAAGTAACCCTGGTTTTTGTTGGAATAATGCTGTCCTCACAGAATTTTATGTATGAACCTTGGTTTTATCAGGAGTTCTTGTTGGTTAAAGAGCAAGTCACCCCCAAGTCAACTTATTTTTCCTGATAAACTATATAAATGTGTGTCTAATCGTGCTGCAGACACGTGTAGTCAACAGTTTTGCACTTTAGTGCATTTTAGTAAAAATTTTAATTTTCTGCCTAAAACTGTCAGTGTTGTGCCGTTGTCAGGTAAAAACTCTGCACTGCATTTGAATTAAAATCTGCCATCGCTATTGGCTAAGAGGTACCCTAGAACGTTAGCTGGTACCGTATGATGTCACAATTAGGGTTGTCATGGTGTGAAATTTTAACCTCACGATTATTGTGACCAAATTTATCATGACTTTCGGTATTATCGCTGTATTTTTTTAAACGTGTAACATTTTCTAAATAAACCCTGTATATCAGGAAAATATTGTCCTCAGTTTGTGTCTACATGTTGCCTAAAATGTGTTATTTTGTAATTATGTTGTTTATGTGTTTACATTTTTCCCCTTTAGTCTGTAAAATA